TTCTTCTTCTTCTTCTTCATTTTTTCTTTTTTTTCCCCCCCGATTGATTATCAGGGGGACACAGGTGCTCCGGGGCCCAGGGGGCCTGATGGGGCTCCTGGGAAAGGAGCTCCCGGTGAGAAGGTAACAGTTTTAAGTTTCTGACCTTAAAAGTTATTATCTAACCCTCGTCTGCAGAGCTGATCAGTTTGTCTCTGGCAGGGGGACAAAGGGGACAGGGGGAGCCGGGGACAGCCGGGGTCGTTCGGTCCTGTGGGGCCAACGGGGCCAAAGGTAAATTGCACAAGCGAAACATTTAAACACCAAAAATAAAGGCTGTGATTTCAAATTTGKTTTTTTTTTTTTCATTGACGAGGTGCAGAAAATATTCAAAACACTAAAAAACAGGAAATTTTCTTAAAGAGGCATCTTATTTTGGGTCCTCAAAGTGCAAAAGAATGAAAAATAAAACTGCACATTATAGATAAAATCAGCTAATCTGTTATTTTTATTTTTGTTTTTTAAATGAATTGCTTTATTCACAAACATGAGCTGCATGTCCAGTTAAACATAATGTTTTAAAATGGTTTGATTAAATTATCACAACATATAAAAGATTTGTTGACGGCAAAATGAAAAACACAAAATAAATACATAAAAAATCTAAGTCTCAGATGCTGGAATGAATAAAATGTTTTTCACATTTACCCAATGAAATAAAACGATAAAAAAATAACATTTATGATTAATCTTTCTGCAGTGTTTTAACTTAAAAACCCTGGTTACTACTGTATAAATCTGTCTTCTGTCTCAGGGAGAACCAGGGAAACTTGGACTGCCAGGACCCAGTGGACCACCGGGTCGGGGGATTCCTGGTGCCAAAGTGAGCTAACGTGGTTCAAACTAAAGCCTGCGTTTGTTTGTCCGACAACTTTCCATTAAATCTGTTTTGTTTTGTTTTTTGTCAGGGAGAACCGGGTCCACAGGGTCCCGCTGGAGCTGTGGGGGAGTCTGGGATTGGTTTACCTGGACCAAAGGTGAATTCTGTTCAGGTTTGGAGTCATCTCCACTGAATGTTTTTTTTTTTACAGTAAAGAAAAACCAAGTCTGATTTTCAGGGTGATAGGGGACCACCAGGATCGCTTGGGCTACCTGGACTGAAGGGTGAAGGGTTCTCCGGACCTCCAGTGAGTCTCAAACCACATTTTTGATATCAGCATTCCTGGTTGTTGTGTAATTTTAAACCATTTTCGTTGTGTCTATCAGGGGCTTCCAGGACTTCCTGGTCTGCCTGGAGAAAGTGGACCTGAAGGCATTGGATTACCTGGACCAAAGGTAGCACCGCTCATTGCCCGCAGCTTATAGCTCGCCATTTATGGTCTGTATCTTATGGTCTGTAGCTTATGGTCTGTAGCTTATGGTCTGTATCTTATGGTCTGTAGCTTATGGTCTG